CGACCTCCTTTTCTATCTTAATCTTTGTCTTTCATTTTCTCCTATTTTATCTCCTTGTAAGTTGTAACGACCTCCTTTTTCTATCGTTTAGTTCTTTTTCTTTTCTTTACGGCCATTTTATTACCTTGTACCTCCTTTTTCTATCTAGTTTTTTTTTCTATTTCATCTCCTAGTAACGACCTCCTTTTCCTGAGATGAAATCCTCCGCTAAACTCAACAGTTGATTCAACACTTCTAGAGAGAACACCATCTCTTCTCCCATCTACATCCTTTCCCTGGAGATTTAATTAAATCTAGAAGAAAGGGACTCTGAACACACAATTTTTATTGAGCTTCCATTTTTGATAGGTTATATCCGATGTTCAATGGTACCTTTAAACCTTTGTTTTTTTATCAATAAGGGAATCATATTTTTATTGGCAGAAAATGAGTGCTTGCAAATTCATCTGTACAGTCACTGTGAACTGAATCGACAGTCAGTTTTCATAAACATAAGAATATAAGGATAACTCATAATTGATCAGAAACAAATTTAAAGAATATCGTTGTGAATCGGACATTTCCACACTTGGAGTATCAACTGAAATTTCGTCTTGAGTCCATTTAAGCAGTTTGGAAGAAGAGGAACACTTTCGCCATGTAGAAACTGTAGAAGCTGTAGAAACTGTAGAAACTGTAGAAACTGTAGAAACTGTAGAAACTGTAGAAGCTGTAGAAACTGTAGAAACTGTAACTGTAGAAACTGTAGAAACTGTAGAACCTGTAGAAACTTTAGAAAACTGTAGAAACTGTAGAAACTGTAGAAACTGTAGAAACTGTAGAAACTGTAAAAACTGTAGAAACTGTAGAAACTGTAGAAACTGTAGAAGCTGTAGAAACTGTAGAAACTGTAGAAACTGTAGAACCTGTAGAAACTTTAGAAACTGTAGAAACTGTAGAAACTGTAGAAACTGTAGAAACTGTAGAAACTGTAGAAACGGTAGAAGCTGTAGAAACGGTAGAAGCTGTAGAAACTGTAGAAACTGTAGAAACTTTAGAAACTGTAGAAACTGTAGAAACTGTAGAAACTGTAGAAACTGTAGAAACGGTAGAAGCTGCAGAAACTGTAGAAACTGCAGAAACTGCAGAAACTGTAGAAACTGTAGAAACTGTAGAAACGGTAGAAACTGCAGAAACTGTAGAAACTGTAGAAACTGTAGAAACTGTAGAACCTGTAGAAACTGCAGAAACTGCAGAAACTGTAGAAACTGTAGAAACTGTTGAAACTGTAGAAACTGTAGAAACTGTAGAAACTGTAGAAACTGTAGAAACTATAGAAACTGTAGAAACTGTAGCAATTGTAGAAACTGTAGAAACTGTAGAAACTATAGAAACTGTAGAAACTATAGAAACTGTAGAAACTGTAGAAACTGTAGAAACTGTAGAACCTGTAGAAACTGCAGAAACTATAGAAACTGTAGAAACTATAGAAACTGTAGAAACTGTAGAAACTGCAGAAACTGTAGAAACTGTAGAAACTGCAGAAACTGTAGAACCTGTAGAAACTGCAGAAACTGTAGAAACTGTAGAAACTATAGAAACTGTAGAAACTGTAAAAACTGTAGAACCAGTAGAACCTGCAGAAACTGTAGAAACTGTAGAAACTGTAGAAACTGTAGAAACTGCAGAACCTGTAGAACCTGTAGAAACTATAGAAACTGTAGAAACTGTAGAAATTGTAGAAACTGTAGAAACTGTAGAAACTGTAGAAACTGTAGAAACTGCAGAAATTGTAGAAACTGTAGAAACTATAAAAACTGTAGAAACTGTAGAAACTGCAGAAACTGTAGAAACTGTAGAAACTGATTAGAAACAAATTTAAAGAATATCGTTATGAATAGGACAGTTAAGGACTTGGGAAGAAGGGAACACTTGCCATGTGGAAATTGTAGAAACTGTAGAAACTGCAGAAATTGTAGAAACTGCAGAAACTGTAGAAACTGTAGAAACTGTAGAAACTGTAGAAACTGCAGAAACTGTAGAAACTGTAAAAACTGTAGAACCAGTAGAACCTGCAAAAACTGTAGAAACTGTAGAAACTGTAGAAACTGTAGAAACTGTAGAAAAGAAACTGTAGAAACTGTAGAAACTGTAGAAACTGTAGAAACTGTAGAAACTGTAGAAACTGTAGAAACTGTAGAAACTGTAGAAACTGTAGAAACTGTAGAAACTGTAGAAACTGTAGAAACTGTAGAAACTGTAGAACCTGCAGAAACTGTAGAAAATCTAGTAATTGTAAAAACTGTTTTAAAACTAAAATATTAATATAAAATTAGTACAGAGAGAAATGACGCTTAGAATTTTGTAAATTTATTCTAAAATGTTCAGTGCATCTTTTTAAAAAAAGCTTAATTGGAAATTAGAAAATCCTAAACGACATTTATAAGCACAAGAGAAAAGATTACGACTTTTTTATGTTTTCCAATGTATAACGTAGTAACATATATTCCATTAAGTTTAAAAAACTTAAAACTTATAACGTATACCAAATAGGACAAAATCCTTAAATGGACAGGATTGGATTGAACTAAACATCCCAATCAACACTGCTGTGATCGGCAGATCATGGCTCACAACATGCTCATCAATTACCAGTGTAAAAACTTTTTATAAAAAACTCTCAGTCTCAACTAACTTTTCTAGAATATATTTATTTATATATAATAATTATATAAATTATATTTAATAATCTTTGAATTTTTAAATTAGATCATTTCTATCATAGCAAATAATAAAGTATTGTTTAGCATAACTTAGACAATGCATCTTTGTTCAATATCAAAGATTTTTTGCCGAGAAAAAGTTTATCTAAAAACTTTATAACATCATTTCTCCATTTCTGCATTTTCTCTCTGAATGTTTATATATCTATGGAACAAAATGTTGACTGAAAGAATTGGCGCATTAATCATTTTTTCTCTTCACGACAGTTTATCAATTTTCTCGGTAATATAATCTTCAAGTTGTCAGATTAGGTACTTTCCTACTTTCACCCAGTGCAGAGGCAAACACAATAGTTTTCTGATTTTGATCAAACTATCGTGCACCATTTTGTTTTGCTTAACAGTCTGGTCCGAATTTAGATACAATTTTTTGCGATAATAAATATTTGCATTGAAAGGAATTCTGCAAGGATGCTAAAGGGGGGGGGGGTAGCAAGAGGTATCCCCCCTCTCGAATTTGCTGTGAAAAATAGAGCATGTCTTTCTGGAATCTTAAAATAAAGGGGAAATTAGTTCCAAAACTAAGACTTGGCCCATTTCTAGCACTGAGTGTTAGAAATGGGCCAAATCTGCAAAGTTATCTTTTTCAAGCGTATATATCTTTAAATCCAAGCCGAGTTGATCAAAACTACACAATACATTTATTAAAAATGGCTAAAACTAATCATTGAAACAAGAAATGTCCACTTTAAACTAATAATTTGGTGTGAGAATTATTTTTTGATGATATTGGTTTTCATTTTCGAACATATCCCTATTATGAAACAATTACCTTATTTCAGCTCATGTCGTGTTTTCGGAACATTTCCTGGTTTTGAGACAATTACTAGAATTCATATCAATATCAATTTTCAAGCAATTACGCACTCACGTTACAAAACAAGATGTTTCGATAAGGTTAAATAGAAAAAAATATAGAACAAAAAATATTGTTCTTTTTTAATTTAAACATAATCGAGATAACAAAATTTAATATTATTTTGTTCTTACAATGTAGATTTAACTAGAAATCCGGGAAATTGTTTATTTAGACTGCGGGAAATTAAATCAACGTTATTCTCTTATTTAACAAATAAAATTTGGAAATTAATATTTCAGAAATAATTTAGCAGTTAATTTAGTCCTCATAAGATAATTTTTACTTTCGGTTTTGTAAGTTATAAAAGTGAGTTTTGTTCTGAATTGAGGATTATACTCAAAAAAGAGAAAATGGGTTTTGTCTCGAAAACTCAACAATGATTCAAATTCAGGATATGTTCGAAAATGGAAAACTTGACATTGTCTTTAATATAAAAGAACTCTTTTTATAATTTTGACTCCAGAAAATAGTTTTAAATTGGTAATTAATGTCCTCGTCATGCTTAATAAAATGTTGGTTTTAGTTTTAATTATTGACTTTTACTCTAGATATGAGTTGGGATCCTAAAAACCCAGTCATATCAGTATTAGAAATGGGCCAAGTGTTAGTTTTGGAACTAATGCCCCCATGAAATACTGAAAGTTTTACAGTTTTATAATTTTATCAAATGTTTGAAACCTTTATATGCCTGTGGTGTACTATATCAAAGGACAAAATGAATTTTCAACAATGCTGGAAATTTTGAAGAAAAATGTCTTTAGATAAAATAAAACTTGTGTTTTTGTGATTTAGTGATTTTATTCATTTCTTATATTTTCTTTTATATTGAGATAAAGCAAGATAAAACAATATTGACACTACTCAATCACACAGTATCAAGACAGATTAGATTAACAAGAAAGTCAAAAAGAATATAATACATTATTCTATAAAAATGAGAAAAAAAGATAAATTTGTTAAAAGGTTATAGCTGTTGCACAAATGAACTAAAACTACTTTTTTATTAAAAAAGAGGTCTTTCTCTGATATTCATTTGGAATTTAAACTTAGACCCAATCTGGCTCTTATATATTTTAACTCATATGAGTTAGGGTGTCATTATACGACAAAATGGAGCAGGATTGCAACCATAGAAATTCATTTTCTAATCTAAAGATAAAAGTAAGGGTATTAATTGAATCAAACACTTTGTTTGACAAATAATTAAGAATTAATTAATAGTATTTTAAGATTTTAAAAGATATGGATCGCACCGAAAGAAGTTGAAATTATTTTTTTTAAGATTAAGATTGTTTCAGACTATTATTGTAAAATACAAATCACAACCAGTAACCCTTTTATTTTACGTAAACATGCAGTTATCAAAAATGATTAGTTTCAGATAAAAAATGCCTCTAGAGCGACGATCCACCCCTCCGCCAACCCAGGAGAAGATCTGTTATTGCGTTAACACAAACATTCAGAAAGCATCAACATTCAGGGCTATCTGCGCAGGTCAGCTTTTGAAGGGATCCCAGGGTTTTGAACGGATCCTAGATCCTAGGGTTTTAAAGGGATCCCAGGGTTTTAAAGGGATCCAAGTGGATTGGAAGGAACATTTGATTTTGGGAGATACCAGTAGTTAGGGGGATCTCAAGTTTTGGAGGGATTCCAATTTTTTGGACGGATCAAAACTAGTAAGGACCCTGATGTTCAAGGGATCCCTGGATTCGAAGGCCCCTTATCCCAGGGGTTACAAGGGATCACAAGAGTTTAAAGAGATCACAAGGGACTGAGAGGTATACCAAGGTCTTGGATGGATTCTAAGAGTTAACGTTAATCCAGAGTTTTTGAGGTATTAAACATGTATATCTCAGTAAATTTAATTTTGAATCTGGCGGAACGTGAAAATCTATTTAACGCAAATGAATAAATAATAACATTAAAAATGGCGAATTAGATCCTTTTTTACATTTTCTACAATGTATTCTTCTGCTGCAGTAGTTTTACACATATTTTTTCTACAAATGTTTTGGTAATTACAGGAGTAAAATATACGATTTAATTTGATTTGAATGTTTCGCAAAACCTTATAGAGTATTTTTCCAAAGAATCAAATTGATTTTTTAATATTTTGGAATCCAATTTCAAGGCCTTAAATCCCTTTAATATTTTGGAATCCAATTTCAAGGCCTTAAATCCCTTTAAACCATTGTGACAACTACCCCGTAACCCTACCCTCTGCACATGAATTACAAAATATTTATTTTGAAATTTTAGTTATTTAACAATAGAAAAAAATAATTTCTGGGCCATGCTAAGTTAATAATCTTGAAAACTAAAATAAATAGTTTTCTAGTTGCTACCCTTGTTGCCAATACTTTCGAAAATTCGAAATATATTTTTTATATACTTGACAAATTAAGTGCAAAATTCAGAATTCAGAATTCTCCTCCAAAAACTATAACTTTTATTGTCTAAAACTTTTTTCAAAAGCCGGAAAAAATGGATTTATTTGAACATGTGTCGCATAATATCATTTTTATTTTATTTCTTCATTTTTCTGGAGCCCTGACAAATATTGGGCTATGATCATCTTTTACAACTGCAAACCTTTAATCAAAGGCCTTTATAAAGGGGGGGGGGGTCTATAAACATATTTATACCCCCTAGCCTTTTATGGTAACAATCTTAGTTTAGTGTTCCTAACCCCCAATATTGGGTTATCATGTGTACCTCCGAACATATGAACAGTCCTATTATTTGCCAGCTGTGGCCCCCAGGTTCAATCACCACCATGAACAGTCCTATTATTTGCCAGCTGTGACCCCCAGGTTCAATCACCACCATGAACAGTCCTATTATTTGCCAGCTGTGACCCCCAGGTTCAATCACCACCATGAACAGTACTATTATTTGCCAGCTGTGACCCCCAGGTTCAATCACCACCGGCACCAAGTTTTAATATTAAATCCATTTCCCGCCTAACACAAGAAAAAGATAAAAACAAACTTTTTATCATTTGGCAGAAATTACAAAACAATTGTTTTCCTAAGATTTTTCTTTTCAATAGAATTTAATATTTCTTTTCAGAAATTTATAAAGTTTTTTCTTGCAAAATTCAAACTATGTTTAAATTCATATTGCATACAAGAACATAATCGAGCTTCATAAATTAAAAATAAGTTAAATAATAAAATAATTAAAAATGTTTCGCAGTACAATTGTTAAATTGAAAGCGCGACGTCTGCGCAACTGTAGCGGACAGACTTATTTCCAATTATCTAATCCCACAAATTCTTCTTTTTTTTGAAAATATTTAAAAGAAATGCATTCTAATTGTAAAATAAAGCATTTTTAAATACCAAAAATATTGATGTGGATATTTTGGCCCTCAATAAAAAAATAAAAATACTTATTTGACACCCCTGGCATTATCTTTGTAGTTATATCCCGAATGAAAAGTTTTATGTAAAGTCCGGAGAGTTAAGAAAAATAACAATTACAAAAAATATTTAGGCCAAAGACCTACCACCTCCTTCACAAAACTGCAAATTTTATGATGAAATTCAGTTATTGGGCAAAAAATGTGCTAAGACTAAAATTCCGCGAAATATGACAAATTTTACATTTAAAAAAACTGAAAGGTACAAAAGTACTTTCCAAATTTAGTATCTAAGTGGGTATAAAGAAAAAAACTTATTTGACGTACTAGCACGAATACTTTATAGCACGTCTAATATAAGGAAATTTACCATGAATTGACACCGAGTGATAAAGTACACAATAGTTTCATAAAATATCTTTGCAAAACTTGTGCAACCTGTCTCTTTACGTCATAGGTTTTCCAAAGAGCTTAAAAATGTTGAAAACCAATGACTGGTTGGTCTAAATATAGATTATACTGGTTGGTCTAAATATAGATTATACTGGTTGGTCTAAATTTAGATTATACTGGTTTGGTCTAAATATAAATTATACTGGTTGGTCTAAATATAGATTATACTGGTTGATCTTTATATAGATTATACTGGTTGGTCTAAATATAGATTATACTGGTTGGTCTAAATATAGATTATACTGGTTGATCTTTATATAGATTATACTGGTTCGTCTAAATATAGATTATACTGGTTGGTCTAAGTATAGATAATACTGGTTGGTATAAATATAGATGATACTGGTTGGTCTAAATATAGATAATACTGGTGGTCTAAATATAGATTATAATTGTTGGTCTTTACATAGATTTACTGGCTGGTCTAAATATAGATTATACTGGATGGTCTAAATATAGAGTATACTGGTTGGTCTAAATATAGATTACACAGGTTGGTATAAATATAGATTATACTGGTTGGTCTAAATATATATTAGACTGGTTGGTCTAAATAAAGATTATACAGGTTGGTCTAAATATAAATTATACTGGTTGGTCTATATATAGACTATACTGGTTGGTCTAAATATAGATTTTACTGGTTGGTCTATATATATAGATTATACTGGTTCGTCTAAATATAGATTATACTGGTTGGTCTAAACATAGATGATACTGGTTGGTCAAAATATAGATAATACTTTATACTTTATGCACATACATCTAAACAGTTTGTTTTTAACCTTTGAGACAGAAACAATCTCAAGGAATAATCATTGCCTTGAAAGATTTTTTTAAAAAAAGAATATTTGCAAAATATCTTTTTTCCATCTTATAATCTGAGTTCGTTTTCCTTATGTCCATTTGACAGCCCAAATTTTTACTTTGAATTATTATATCGTTAGAACTGACGAGGGTCAACCCAGACCGAAATATATTTTCAATAAACATCTACTTTTTTACTGTACAGAGGTTTGGTCCATCACCATCACCGAGTTCATATGATAACTTTTTTTATTGTGATAAAAAGTTTACTCGAAGATTCAGTGAATGGAAAATTTTAAAAAGAATTAATTTTTTATCAAGACTCTTTTAAAGATCTAAATATTTATTCTTCTAACGAGTAATCAAATATGCCATTAAATGAAAATAATAATAATAATATTAATGAGAATAATTCTTCTTAATATTATTATAATAGAGAAATATTTGTTTCTTATGAAATGCAGCAAACAAAATAAACAAACTATGATGTAAATATAAAATTGTCAGAGGTGGTGTAGTAAATACCATACTCTTAAAAGTTCGTCCCCCAAACCGTATCAGTCCAGGCTCAACCGATCCGCTATCCAAGTCAACTAGTACACAACCCACCTGGCTCTGAATCCCACACAGGGACACAAGCATAGCTTTTCAATCTAGCTATTACCCAGGCTCTAAATGCCACTAAAGGACACAACACGAGCGTAGCTTATCCATCTAGCCACGAAACTCTAAATGCTACACAGGGATACCTGCATAGCTATCAAACCAGCTATCAATTCGGCTCTAAATGCTACACAGGGACACAAGCATAGCTATCAAACAAGATATTAATTTGGCCCTAAATGCCACACAGGGACACAAGCGTGGCATTCTAGCGTATTCATTTGAAACACAGTTCAAATGAACAATGTTTTTTTACATAGACAATTGATAATGAACAATGTACTGCAAGTTTATAGAATATCATGTGACCCGATATTTATAATAGGGGTATATGTACATTTTTTCAGGCAAATAAAAAAGATGCATATTTTTTAGAATATTTCTTATTTGGGGATAACAAACTTAGAATAAATCTGTACTACACAATGCGGAGCGGAGGGGGTTTGATTTTTTTTCGTGGATTTTGATACCAGGCATTACTTTTTTGCATTTTCTGTATACAGTACACTAAGCCCAAATCACAGTATCCAACTATTTCTTTGGTCATTTAGAAGGGCTATCGCAACGTCAGTTACAGTGTTACAGTTATGGATGTTTTTTTTAAATATATTGATAAACAAATTTTATACATTCTTCTAAAATTTTGTTTTCCTTCTGAATATTATTCTTGTTATTCTAAGTTTGAACACTTTGGTAAATTGTTCCAACAATTCCTAAGGGAAAAATTTCCAGGATAATTATAGTTATAATCATCTTTTATACACTTCACATATTAGCTGCAGGGTGTCACAAAAAACATGCACCTTCTCCCCCCCTTCCCTATATTTTCATGACTCATAAATCATAAAGTCATTTTAGAATCATATGTTAACCCTATTCCGACTAGAGGAGGAGGGCAATTGGGTCCCCCTGGTTTTTTGGAGAAAAATCTAAAAGTGTTGGTCTGAAGCTGTAGAATTTTTTTGACTTCACAAGCTTACACTTTAAGCTCGAAGCGGGGCTTTATACCTATTGCCTTAGTCAAGAGTCATGCTGCATGAATGCCTTATATTACCTTTCCAAGATTTTTCAGATCATTGGTTTTCAACATTTTATAGCTCATTGGAAAGCCTTAAACAAAAGGAAGCAGTTTTCACAATTTTTGCGAAGAAATTTTGCAAAAACATTTGCACAGATGCCTTTGATGCTATTGTACCCAAAAAATAGCTGACACACTTATTGAACACTTGCAGTAAATGCCCGACTCCATAAAAGTCTCTCAGACCTGTATCAATCCAGGTACAACTCAATCAGGAACTCACAGTTCAAGGAATACTTTACTATCAATGTTATTCCGGACATGACTTTATTTCCCAGTTTAGTTTTATATTTTAAGAGAATGATTCAGGTCGCTTCTTGTTTGTTAACTAAGAAGTAATCACTCTCACACTAAAACCAAAGCTGAGTCTAATTCCAATGAAATGTATTTGGGGGTTCCTTGTTACAAGTTATAGTTAATCAACGTAATTACAAGTTTTAAGTAAATATATACAACTTAATTAAGCTAATTGTGTTACGCAGTTATTTACAGCGCAGTTAAGATAAATCATGTTTTGGGTTTTATCTAGTTATTTTTAAATGTAGATAATTAATAATGTACAACGAAGCGTAGTTCAGGTTTACAGATATAGTGTTACACGATATTCATTACACACATCCAATGCACCTCCATTCTTTGCCTCTTGTTATTGTTATACTTTTCATATGTAAAGTTATGTCTACAAAATGTGTAAATTTATTTATTAATTGAACTGATTATATTGATGAACAAACTTAAATAGATTTAAGGATTAATCGCCAAATATTCACAATATTCTAAACAATTCAAATTTATGGAATTTCCCCTTTCCCCTCTCTTCCCCCTTTCCCTCTCCCCTCTCGTCCCCCTTTTCCCCACGCTCCCCTCTTCAATATTTTCAAGATTAATTTTAGATATCAAATAAATTAGTTTTGATCGGTAAAAGACAATGCAAATTTTGTCAAGAACTATTTTCTAGGGTTTCAAATCAAAAATTTCCGTTGCGTCTCGAAGCCTCGAATTTCGCGTGTTACAACTATATACGTGTAGGAATTGATTAAAAAAGCCATAATTTTGAAATTTTGAATTCTGTATAAACTTGTCCTTATCCCAAATAAAGTGTAGCATTTAATTTGAACTGAAATGAAAAGTATGAAATATTAGACTAATTACAACAGTCTTAATGGGAGAGACGATTTATTCTAAATAGCAATTAATGAAAAATAGCATGTTTTATTATTGTAATACAAAAGTTTAATTGTTGTAATAAAAAAGGTTGGCATAACTTTCCAATTCCAAGCATGGGGCCAGGGGGTTTTTATTCTGACGACAACATTTTGATTTTCTACTTTGGAATAAATTGTACAGTTGTAATATAGTTAAATTATACATTTTTGGTGGATTTTTGCAATTTACTTGCTAAATTAATTTATTTAAGCATGATTTTGCAAATTAATTTTGGAAGAGAAAGAAAATATTTGATAAAAATAATATTTTCTTATATTTCCCGGATTCCTTGTGTACTCCGAGAATTTTATTTATTGATATTTGTACAGAGACGAAAATTGATTTGATATTTATTTGAAACTATTTTAAGCCAGCAAAGATTGTAAAAATAACAAGATAAGCTTAAAGCTAGTGTACTTCAGAAAGAAACTGATAACTCACCTAAAAATCTATTTTCTTGATCATATATCTTTGAAACTTGATGATTTAAACTTTCCATATTTTTCAAACTTTGACTATTTGCTCTTGTAGGATTCATAGCTTAAAATATCAGAGGTCTAGGAAATCATTTATTGGATAGAAAAATGGAGTTTCAGGCGTTAAATCAGATGTTTTAAGAAAATTGCAATAATATATGAATATTGCAACAATATTTCTGTTCAGGAATGTTTTCAATATTGACCTTAATTCTTTCCTTGGTCCTACCGCTGTGGGTTAAAACAACAGAGTTTGTACCGGCCAGACCACCACATACAGGTACAGGTATATAATTGTACCGACCAGACCACCACATACAGGTACAGGTACATAATTGTACCGGCCAGACCACCATATACAGGCACAGGTACATAATTGTACCGACCACCACATACAGGTACAGGTACATAATTGTACCGGCCAGACCACCATATACAGGTACAGGTACATAATTGTACCGGCCAGACCACCATATACAGGTACAGGTACATAATTGTACCGGCCAGACCACCACATACAGGTACAGGTACACATTGTATCGGCCAGACCACAATATACAGGTACATAATTGTACCGACCCTACCACTACATACAGGTACATAATTGCACCAAACCGACCACCACATACAGGTACATAATTGTACCGACCCTACCACTACATACAGGTACACATTGTACCGACCCGACCACCACATACAGGTACATAATTGTACCGACCCTACCACTACATACAGGTACATAATTGTACCGACCAGACCACCACATACAGGTACATAATTGTACTGCCCAGACCACCACATACAGGTACAGGTACACATTGTACGGACCCGACCATACATAATTGTACCGGCCCGACCACAATATATAGGTACATAATTGTACCGGCCTGACCACCATATACAGGTACATAATTGTACCGGCCCGACCACCATATACAGGTACATAATTGTACCGACCCACGGCCACACCATATACAGGTACATAATTGTACCAGCCCGGCCTCCATATACAAGTACATAATTGTACCGACCCACGGCCACACCATATACAGGTACATAATTGTACCAGCCCGGCCTCCATATACAAGTACATAATTGTACCAACCCACGGCCACACCATATACAGGTACATAATTGTACCGACCCACGGCCACACCATATACAGGTGGTACATAATTGTAGCAACACGACCACCTCAAACAGGTATACATAATTGTACTGGCCCGACCACTCCAAATAGGCACACAATTGTACCGGCCCGACTACTTCAAGTAGGTAAATAATTGTACCAGTCCGACCACCACATACAGGTACATAATTATACCTGCTCGACCTGCACCACATAGTACATACTGGTACATAACTGATCCGGCCTGACCACTACATAAAGGTACGTAATGGTACCGGCCCAACCACCACAAATTCCTTGATCTTCCCCCTGGCCCCAACCGTTCCCCTAAAAATCCCAGTTTACCCGTTAAAAATTGAAAATTTCCAAAATTTGCTACTCCTCCCTTAATAAATCCCAAATATCAAAAAGGAATTGAGCCTTTGACACAATTTTGAATCCCTATATGTCTGCAACCTGGTGGTGTAAACCTTAAATGTTATAAATTTATTTGATCATAACAGAGTTTATAAAATCTAAGGTTTACTACATTGGGGTGCAAAGGAGAAAGGTATTAGAAAATTAGAGTTAGGTGCAAAGACTCAATTCCATAGAATAATTAAATAAAATTTGTTTAGGAATCTGGGAGATAAAAATCAATATAGGCATGTTCTCTGTGTGTCCCTACATCACACGACAGAGCTTAGAAAATCTGTATTTTTGTAAGTACTCGAATTTTTGAAAAGTATCGTGGACTGCGGAAATGTATTTATGCAAAATTAACAGACGTCTGAAACACGGCCCGCTTATATGTATGCTTCTATCTACCGATCTATACTATTCTGGGCTAGTGTACATGTAACTTTGTCGGTGGGCTACGCAGCTGTTATATCTCAGTGGACCCTAGATATTTTTAGGAAATTTCTAAAACCTCTGCATAGCAAATTTTAGGTTTTCCTATAACAAATTTTCATTCTGGCTATTGTTCATTCTATAAAAATAATTTGTACTTTTAAAAAAGTTTGAAGTATTAAGTTCAGGGTCCAAATTAGAGAAGAACTTTGGTAGATAGTGGGCCCTGGAGTAAGCAGAAATGAGATACTGTAGCTAAAATCTTGTGATCATAGCATTTTCTTCAAAGAGTTGGTAGCATCATAGGCGCCTTGTTTTCAGAATTCCAAAATGTGGTCTGCGGTTTTTGTACCTTAAGAATTGGCCAAGATATGGAGAAATTGGTTTAAAATTCAAAATATTAAATATAAGCAAGGTTGTTTAAATCTTTAGTATCTCCAACAATCTTTATAATACAAAGAAGGAGGCTAAATCTTATCAAGTTTTAAAGACTTGCAATGTTTTTATATACTACTTTGACATCTATTAACTTTACCAAAATCAAAGACAATGTAAGTTCCAGGTTCCAATGTCTAACGTACTGCATAACACCCCAGCGAAAAAATTACATTAAACCTTGACTTTGATATATCTATCTATTATATTTCCATGGTCTGAAATGTATCGTAGAAATTTTATACTTTCTAACTTTCTAATCTTTTAAATTTAATCAAATTTTCAATTCTGCCAATAGTCTGCAAACTTTGAAAAAAAAGCGTGAGAATTTCTTAAAGTTACAATGTATTATTTCTCTCCTTTTCCTATTAAATTAATTTTATATAAGAAAAAACACTATATTTTCCATTTTGTAAAATTAAATTGAGTCAAATTTTTCCTGGTTTCTGGGTTGGTTAAAAAGTTTATATTACATTAAACTATTGTTCTAAACTTTAATGGAATGTTAAAAGGATTTTCCTTTCCCTACAAATTGTATAGTGTAGTTTTAAAGTACAAAAGTTTCAAATATAACATTTGTTACTATATTTGGGGTTAAGAAAACATTTTTCATCGAGAATTTATAGATGGCGTATCATTGATATGGCTACTTTTTACTTTTGTACTTTGCGATAAGAATATCATATTCTTGCTATGGTTCCTCTCAGCGCGCGGTCAGAATTACATTAATTTTGTTATTGAACCCTCATCTAAGCTTTCGGTGTGTACTGAAGTGCTTTGAATTGCGCCGACCGAAGATATATTATGGTTTAGTGGAGAGTGATTGTTCTTTAAGATTAGAATAGAAAATTTATGTTTTTGTAACTTTATGCTAAAAATTGCATTTTTTGCCATATATGGTTCCTTTTAGGTTAAAATTTGATATTGTTGTTTTGGGTCCTACGAACGGTAAGAATGGCGTAATTGGCATATTGTTGATATGGTTTTCTTAAGAGTAAGTATTATATTTTTTTCCTATGGCCGGCCTTTAAGGTTAGAATGGAATATTGTTGCTGCAGTTCCTTTAAGGTTAGAATTGCATATTGTTGCTATGGTTCTTTTAAGGTTAGAATTGCATATTGTTGCTGCAGTTCCTTTAAGGTTAGAATTGCATATTGTTGCTATGGTTCCTTTAAGGTTAGAATTGCATATTGTTGCTATGGTTCTTTTATGGTTAGAATTGAATATTGTTGCTATGGTTCTTTTAAGGTTAGAATTGCATATTGTTGCTATGGTTCTTTTAAGGTTAGAATTACATACTGTTGCTATGGTTCCTTTAATGTTAGAATTGCATATTTTTGCTATGGTTCCTTTAAGGTTAGAATTGCATATTGTAACTATGGTTCCTTTAAGGTAAGAATTGCATATTGATGCTATGGTTCCTTTAAGGTTAGAATTGAATATTGTTGCTATGGTTCCTTTAAGGTTAGAATTGCATATTGTTGCTTTGATTCCTTTAAGGTTAGAATTGCATATTGATGCTAAGGTTCCTTTAAGGTAAGAATTGCATATTGTTGCTATGATTCTTTTAAGGTTAGAATTGCATATTGTTGCTTTGATTCCTTTAAGGTTAGAATTGCATATTGATGCTATGGTTCCTTTAAGGTTAGAATTGAGATTGATGCTATGGTTCTTTTAAGGTTAGAATTGCATATTGTTTCAATGGTTCCTTTAAGGTTAGAATTGCATTTTGTTGCTATGATTCCTTTGAGGTTAGAATTGCATATTGTTGCTATGGTTCCTTTAAGGTTATAATTGCATATTGTTGCTATGATTCCTTTAAGGTTAGAATTGCATATTGTTGCTATGATTCCTTTGAGGTTAGAATTGCATATTGTTGCTATGGTTCCTTTAAGGTTATAATTGCATATTGTTGCTATGATTCCTTTAAGGTTAGAATTGCATATTGTTGCTATGGTTCCTTTAAGGTTAGATTGCATATTGTTGCTATGATCCTTTTAATGTTAGAATTGCATATTGATGCTATGTTTCCTATAAGGTTAGAATTGCATATTGTTGCAATGGTTCTTTTAAGGTTAGAATTGCATATTTTTACATTTTCCCTGTTAGAATAGCTTAAAGTTGCTAATACTGAATATAAAGTCCTTGAATGGTAAGAATATGTTGATGTTGGTTTTATGAAACACAACACAGATACTTTATATCCTGTTAGGGGAGTAAATATATAGATACCTCAGGGGTCTGTGGGGAGTAGGGGGATAAAAGGAGACTCATGTAGTAGGGGGGGGGGGGGGGGG